TACCTCTTCTCCCTAAAACTCTACACCTAACTTCTGCATTACTCACATGGTGACACCACGGAATACGTCCTATACTACGAAGGCAACGGTGGTCAAATACCTGTAACCTTCTCATGTCTTCCACTTTCAATGGCCATGTTTCACAGCCATACAGTAGAACAGAGCGGACTGCTGTGCAGTACACGCGACCCTTAATAGACAAACGAATATCACGGCGGCGCCATAGGTGGCGCAAATTGGCAAAAGCCAATCGAGCCTTTTGTATCCGTGCAGAAATCTCATCGGCAACTAACCCACCGGGTTGATCCTACTTCCCAGGTAAGTGAAGTGGTCAACACACTCAACCACTTCACTCTCTATTGTTAACCGCGGTACCGCTGAAGACCAGTCCTGGAGCAAAAATTTGCATTTGGGTGGTGAAAATCGCATCCCAAACATTCTCAAATTCCCACTCAAAGTGTTCAGAAGACTCTGCATCTTGTCAGCGTCTTCACCTAACAGGACTATGTCATCTGCATATTCTAGATCTAAGGAAAATTCACCTGTGATCCGGTCAACGTCTTTGTAATTAGGTGACGAGAGGGAAACCTCCATAAGAATATCTATGATAAAATTAAATAAGAATGGGGATAGTGGGCATCCTTGACGGACACCACTTGATGAGTATAGCTCCCTGGACAACTCACCATAGGCTCTAACATGCCCACAAGTGTTCGAGTAGAGAGCTTTCAATAAGGTGATGTACTTACTAGGCACGCCTTTCAGTGACAGACACTGCCATAAGACTTCTCGATCAACGGAGTCAAATGCCGCCTTCAGGTCGAGAAATACAGCTATTGTCGGGCGTCTGTAAGCATGCCTATGTTCCAGGACCTGGCGCAGTGTGAATATTTGGTCGATACATCCACGGCCAGGTCTAAAGCCTGCCTGGTTTTCTCGGGCTTGCTGTTCCCGAGCTCCACTCAGGCGTCGGAGAATTATAGAACTTAGGATCTTAGACACTATGTTTGTCAGGCTGATTCCTCTGTGGTTATCACAAGAGGACTTCTCGCCTTTCTTGAAGACTGGGATGATGAGTGACTTAGACCAGTCGGAGGGGATCGTATTTGATTCCCATATACTGGCTAACACTTCCGTTAGCCTGACTAAGAGAACTCTACCACCATTCTTGTATACCTCAGCAGGTAGTCCGTCTGGTCCTGCTGCCCTTCCCCGTTTCAGGCTACCTACCGCTTTCTCAACTTCTTCTAGTGTTGGGGGACCTGTCTCTATGTCCCATTCAGGGTCCGACTGGATAGCGGGCAGCGCAATGGTGGCTGGAGGCCAGTTAAACTGTTCCTCAAAGTGTTCTGCCCATCGTCCCAGTCGCCTTCCCTGCGAGTGAATCGCCGATCCGTCCTTCTCCGCTATAACCTCACTAACTGTTGTTGACCATTTCCCCCCAGTCTCCTTAATAAGTCTAAATAACTGTCTACTGTTACCGATCGCCGCTGCCTTTTCCATCTCTTTAGCCTTTGCTGCCCACCACTGTTCACGATCGTTGCGCAGACTTTTCGTCAGTTTATTTTTAAGTTGCGCTCGCTCTTCATTGTACTCAGAGCCTGCAGGGATGCATTCACGTGCATCCATTAGTTTGGAAGAAGCTGCTGATATCCACTGGCTCTTTTTAGCCATTATCTTGGAGTCGGCTACAGTCTCCAGTGCTGCTTTTACAGTAGACTGAAGATGGCACCAAGCTTCTTCTGGATGAGTGACAGTCTTTTGTTCCGATAACTGCCTAGCCAACTTCTCACTGAACACGGCTTTGGTGTTTTCGTTGTCCAGCAGAACTCGTAGTGGTTTTGTTGCCAAATTTTTTCTACGTCCATTGAGACGCAGGCATATACGTGCTCGGACCAACGCATGATCGCTGTCCAAACACGTACTCCAGAAGGAGCGGCAGTCTTCCACCGATCCTCTCCAGCGATGACTAATAGCAATGTGGTCTATCTGTGTCCATCGCTGAGTCGAGCTCGGTGGACGCCAGGTCAGACAGTGCCTTTCTTTATGTCTGAAATTTGTGCTGGCTAAAAATAGGCGGTTATCTGAGCATAGTTGTAATAGGCGATCACCGTTATCTGTACGTTCAGCTGGGATTCCGAAAGTGCCACCTAAGTGCCTTTCTGCCTCACTCAGTCTACCCACCTGTGCGTTGAGGTCACCTGCAACAACCACTACGTCCGAACGTTTGGCTTTCGAGAGGAGGTTAGACAGTTTATGGTAGAACTCGTCCTTCACTTCATCCGAACTACAGTCAGTGGGTGCGTAAGCAGAGATTACAAAGAGACAACGGCGAGTCTCACTATTCCTTTTAGTTCTCACTGTGCCGTTCAGCCTCATAGCGCAGAGGCGACTATCAACTGGGATCCAGTCTAGTAGTGAGTTTTCTGCCCTGGTGCTTAATGCTATACCTACACCTGCAAGACCACGAGAGCTAGCTATCGAATCTCCAGAAACTCGAAGGGTGAATTTTGCAGATTCACCAGATTGGTCAGGAGAGGTCAGGTGAATAACCACACTTGGGTCCTGTATGCGTGTCTCACAAACACAGCACACATCCATGCCCGAGTTGCTAGAGTCTTTGCCAACGAAGCCTGTTGGCCAATTTGACGGAGGGTGCGGACATTGAAGGCTCCAATATGTAATTTGGAGCGTGGTTTAAGGAGACCAGGGACGCTGTTCTGTGGACTCAGATCGTTGTCGAAGGCTGCAGAGGTAGGAGAAATTGAAGATGATGCAGCATCATTAATTAAGAGACGTGAAGGAAGATTAGAAGGTAATGATGGAGGAGGAGGATAGCAGTCAGAAGAAACTTGGGTGCTGACAGAGTTGTGAGGGCGGTTGACACTTCCCGGCTGCCCACACCGTGGAAGGCTATTTCTTCTTAAGGTACCTGAAAGAGATTTGTGTGACCGCAGAGCCCATCGGACATCTGCTTGAGGCCTGTCACACCCAGCCTTTTGAGTATGATTATTTTGAATTTTTGTATTTTTGGGGCCGGATGAGCGAAAGGAAACGACAAGTGAACCAACACCGCCGGCCCGGCAGACCGTGGGGCGTGGTGGAGTGTGTTATTTTTGGGGCCGACCTTTTCTAACCCCCCCTTCCACTGAGAAGGCAGCATCAGCTTGGCACTGCTGGTCATCCAAGGGAAACACCTTACTGCTGTCACACCCCATCCAGCTAGCAGCAGTACGACTTCGCCCTCAGACCCCCATCATAGTGTAGCAATTTACACTATAACGGTAACTGCTTTTCGTCTAACCACTACCCAACAGACCTTTCTGGTATGGTAGGACCTCGAGGGAACAAGCGTTCCACCAGCATAGCTCGTTGGGTCATTGTGATATGCAAGCCCGACCACCACGTCAAGGTAGCAGCTATCGGTCGGGACTAACATGTCTAGCTGAACGCGGTCGAAGTTCCAACAAACCACTAAAAATTCTTGAAAAAAGCTCTGTCATCGTGGCTCATACCTTATATTCAGGTCATTAAATATCATTCGAACAGACAAAAGTTCTGCATAAGGGTTTTCTCTCTCACAAAGAACGGGCCATTGCAGAAACTTTGCACATCTGTTCGTACCCTTCTTCGGTCAACGGAAAAGATGGGTTAGACATCCCACTAATATGGCAAACATCAATGACTCGCCTAGGCAGTTGTAAATAGTATATGAAGAGAAGGTAGAACCTAATTATCTCATTCCACATGATTTATTCTGAATTTTACTCTTGCTTGAATAGTTTCCTGTGTTATTTCGCTTAATCACGTCACAAAAAAATATTTGTTGTAATTTAACTACTTGTCTATTACATAGCACTTTATTGATCTACTGTTTTCATCAATTTTACGCTACTTTCTGAGTCATTCTATATATTACACAATCCATTTGGTTACCATTCATACTTCAAGTGTTATCAAAAGTACCTTTATTACTATCATTATTATTATTTATTTATTACATATTGTCCGGTGTTCAAATATTCGTCCTTCCAAACTAGTAGTCTATCTTTTCTCGCCCTTTTTTTAATGGTTCACAACCCCACTGTACTTTTCATAGACGAACTAAATTTTCCCCACTCTATTTTTGTTCCACCTTACTCGCACAACCGAGTTGCTTATTCACTCACCTGTATTATATCCATCCTCGCTCTATATCACGATGTAATTGGATGATCGTAAAGGTCACCACCTTCTGTATGAAAACTTTGAATAATAACCTGAAAACTTAATGTTAGATTCTTACTCTTGAAGAAAAGGTTGTTCCTAGTAAGATCGAAACGTTGAGGAATAATGTACAAAATATGTTGTTTATTTTGTTATTTGTTCTAATATACTACGCTGAGATTACATAGGTAAGAATATACCTTATACAATGAATCGTACTAACTCGGTGCCTAAGTTTTTTAAAATCATCCAGTTCATTGTTGGTATGGATACCTTCAAACTTATTAGTAGTAATAATTATCGATTTAATTATTGTATGTCTGAACTCGGTAAGTTTTCAACATATTTCGACCTCATGGAAAATGAAATGAAACACATTCAACCACTTAGGGTACATCTTTACAGTAGGCAATTGACCACGTCTATCGTATGTGGGTTTGTGCTAGTACTTGGCTGCCCTGAACCTCAGAAGGTGAAGAGAGGGTCGGTTGATAGTTGTCTCTTTAAACCACTGATCTACAGCTCCACAAATCTCGTAGGGGGGGGGGGGATGGAGTCGATGCTAACTGCTAATTATTCGTTTCAAGATTTTACAGAACAAAATTGGTTTAGACTATCAGACCACAGATACCGACAAGCTGTATTTTCTACAAACTATGACATGATTAGTGGGCATTTCTCTTCTAGATTATATTGTTTACTTTTTTAACCATTTTCTCTTGATATCTCATGTAGTTTTACAACGTATTAGTTTGCTCTTTTTTTCTTCTAATTTATCTTCAAATCTATATTAGTTAATGAAGATTTCATCGATTTATGAACAATATTTATACAAGTATGCCAGTGAAGTTTCGCAGAAACAATCTGATATAATAGTTGTACAAAATAAAGTAAGTAATACGTGTTCTGTTCTGTGGATGTTCATAATTTTTTTTCCTTATGACTTTGATTTCTTTTTTCCTTCAACGTAATTTATAAACTTTCTTGCATTATCTGTTTGTCTGACCATATCTCTTCTTTTTTTCCTATCAATATTCTGCTGATCGGACTAGTTAGGTGATTTCTGTTGGCAAATAGTATAAATAATCCGGATTTTTTTTCTCTCATTGTATATGTACACACTTTCCTCATTCTAATTGTAGGAATGTAAAAAGTCCATTTCTTTCAGTGTAGATAATTAATACTTCATAGAAGTGTACATCTACGGAGTACCGCAAACCTTTATCAACCTCATTCAACAAGTATATGAAGACGCCACATGCCAAGTGATTCACAATGGAAAGCTCAGTGACGCCTTTAAAGTGAATACTGGAGTAAGACAAGATTGCCTACTATCACCTACGATCTTCCTGATTGTGGTGGACTGGATTATGCACCAAACTGTGTGGAGCGAGAAGATAAGCTTTCACTGGCTGAACCGATGAAAAAACTCTAGAAGAGGATTTGGATTACGCCGCCGATGATGATTTATGTCTAATGTCGCACAAGCTCGAAGATCTATAGGCGAAAACTAACAAGTTGATAGAAGAGGCGAGGCACCGAAGGAAGACGGGACTTCCTTCAGGTGAACGTAGAGAAGAAAGAGGTGATAAAGATACCCAACCAACAACAACAAGCGCCAATCACAAATCACCATCAACGAGAGAAGTCTAAAGGAAGTTGTCTCCTTCACCTACCACACAGGCAGCATCGTTTCAACTACGGGTGGCACAGACGCCGATGTCAAAGCCAGGATCAGAAAGACAGCAAGACAAGCCTTCATTAATCTGAAATAATCAGTGTGGAGATCTACTACCCTGCACTGCACTCAGCATGGAACGTGAACAACATCCGGACTTTCAACACTAATGTTAGTCAAGTAAGTCAGTGCTTCTATGGGATGGTTGGGAGACTTGGCGGTGCGTTACGAAAAGCATTTCCAACAAGTTTGTTGTTGCATATATGCATGCCTACACTTGATGCTGAAGATGAGATGGTGAGAATAATAAGAATAAGAAGAAACTCACTCTGGCTGGCTAGCTGGCTGGTAACGAACCAACCAAGCACCAATCGCCCAACAAATATGCAGAAGGGTGTGGAGATGGATTGGGCATACACTGAGAAAACCATTCGGAGATATCACGCGCCAGGCCATCGAGTGGAATCCAAAGGGGAAACGACGAGTTGGGCGTCCCAGCTGGGGGTGAAATGGATATGGTGTGAGGGTAGTGGTGGAGCCAGGTTGAAAAGACTGCAGAGAATAGAGTGAAATGGCGGCATGTTACTGAAGCCGTATGTTCCCCTATGAACCTATGGGACAAATAATTATAATAATGGAAGTGCATATATCGGAATTAGAAGGGTTAGTTAAAGCAACCTTGAAAATAAACTTATTTCTGGCTACTGACGTAAATAACTTTATATAATCCTTCCTTGTAAACCATAGAGAGTCTCAGTTTTGAGATGAATACTAAACTTCAGTTTCAAGCTTTTTGGGTTTTACCCTTTATGTAAACTATCGTGAACTATCCTACGTCTGTATGATAGATAACCTTTTTTTTTGTCTGACTGTCTCTCTCTCTGTATATGCATCCAGTATTTCACATTGTTCTTGTTAAGCATGTTACACTGGTCATATCCAAAGCATACCTTTTCCCTGCATAGAAGATCATATACCGGTTGAGCTTTATATAGATGAAAGAAATGACTGTTGAAAGTTTGATTATAGAATATTTGGTTGATTTCCATTATTCAATATATCTAAACAGTGATTTTAACAATTGCTTATCAAATTTCTTTAAATCTTCTATTTCCTTTGTTTTCAACCTCTTAAAACAATAGAAACATTAGCTATTCATGATATTTATGTATTTGGAGAAAAAATCATCACTATGATGGTGGCTACAATATCCCTCCCTCCTTTGTGAAACTATTTAGGTCGAACATCAAAATCACTTAAAATGAGATGGAATAAATATCGGTGATTAAATAAAGATCAACTCATGTATGGATTGATTAAGGCAGTCTTGACATTTCATAGTCTAATATAAACGAATAGAACGAAATATTCAGTCCATAACTGTTACGAATCTTCTAAGAGAATTCGACTACTGAGTCTAATTTACTCATATAAATAGATTTTAATCTAATCCGAGTATGATTAGAAAATCAAAGCAAAAATTTTCTTAACTTTTCTCTGTATAAAAGGTCTGTTGACGAAACTTTTGTTATTTACGACGAAATATATTCAATGGACGAGCTGCTAAAACGTTTCACTTGCTCGATTCAAAGGTCAGTCTATCAAAAATCAATCTAGACTAGCCAGTTCATTAACTTTGTTAGTTTAGTATCTCTTAGCTGTAAAAGAAATCTGATTCACTCACTGTGTTTCAGAATCGATAAAATATGTTCAAAAAACACAATGGATGTTGAAATCGAAACTCTTAGAACAACACTATCAAATAAAGGATACCCTAAAAGATTTATTAAAAAGAATCTGAAGAAATGAACCACTTTTCATCCTATTGTAGCTCCTAAGAAAATCTTAATCATGAATCTAGAATTCAAAGGAGACATCACAGACGAAGTGCTGAAAAACTCGTCTGTCGAGGTATATCAATAGTAGCTTCTATACTGCTAAACTGAGACTTGTTTTCTTCAGCCGCCATCTGATTCGACAATACGTGAAGGATAGAGTATCACTTATGTCCACATCTATGTGTATCTAGAAATCCACATGATCCTGTGGAGCTGACTATATATTGGACGTTATAATCGGGCCCTCGGAAAACGTGTTGCTGAAAATTACCCAGTTTTGCTTACTTAAGGCGAGCGAAGGAAAACAACTCAATGCATATGTAAACACCTAGTAGTTATAGGTCATTCAACACCTCAAGATTCATCCTTTAAAGTAATTTACAAAGTTAAATTGAACTAGTCCAAAGGTTTGTTTCCACCATTTATGTATACCTGAAGCATTAGGTATATATGAAGAATAACCGAAACCACTTTCTTTACCTTGACCCTAATAATTCACTTTTGGTTATTATATCAATTTCACTTCACTTCACCTTAGTATACTTCTCTTTTATTGTCATCGTCATTATTACCACCAATTTTCACTTCATTGACAGCACTTGTCTCTTATCTCATCACTTGTTATCAATTCGTTTCTCATTCAGTGACCCATTTTCTATTTCTTCCACTTGAACAAATACCACTACTAACACCTATTGTATATTTGTATATATTGTATATTGTATATATTGTATATTGTATATATATTGTATATTGCATTGTATATATTGTATATATTTCGCCTGGTTAACTAGTTTACTAGTTACTAGCAAGTCCTAAGCCCCCATAAAGAGGGAAGGTTGGGCATAGGGCTAGCAACCCTACCCCGTAAAACAAATCTAACCGCTAAACAAACTTCAAAGCACAAACAAAATATAAAAAATGAAAACAAACTTATTCCCCGCTGGAATCGGAGAGGCGAAATGACGCCAGTTGGTGAAAGCCTTCGGTAAGCCAATTGGCCGATGTGTCTTCTCTCCCTATATGAAAGCGAAAGTAAACGTGGGGACATGGAATGTCCGTACGATGTTTGAACCCAGTAAGGCAGCCCAGATTGCAAAGGAGATGAGAAGGTATAACATCGAAGTGCTTGGGATTTGCGAAAGCAGATGGAATGGGAGTGGACTCTCCAAACTGTCAACTGGAGAATCAATAATCTACTCCGATACTGTCACCCAGACGCCAACCACGAGCACACTGAGGGAGTGGCTATCATGATGTCCTCAAGAGCATCGAAGGCTCTCATGCAGTGGGAACCAATCTTTTCCAGGATCATGACAGCAAGATTTAACTCAAAAGGAAGAAAGGTCACAATCATACAATGTTATGCACCTACAAATAATGCAGAGCAAGAGAAAAAGGAGGATTTCTACAGACAACTTCAAGCAACACTGGACAAGACGTCAGTTGGCGATATCAAAATTCTAATGGGCGACATGAATGCCAAACTTGGAGGGGACAACACGGGAAGAGAACTAACCATGGGTCGAGAGACGCTAGGTGAAATGAATGAGAATGGAGGATTGTTTGCAGAATTCTGTGCATTCAACGATTTGGTGATTGGAGGCAGTGTGTTCAGGCACAAAGATATCCACAAAGCGTATTGACTGAGCAAGTGTATTTTTAGTGTAATTATCTGTCACTTTACTGAATATAAATATGACTGTACAACTTGATAATGAAGTTGTTGAAAAGAAATATTTCTTCTTCGCTGATATATATGTCTTATACTTTTCACTGTGTCTACTTCTTCAGCATAATAATGGAAAGATTTGTGATTCAATCGATATTCATACATGTCCCATATATCATATGTACAAAAGTCAACAATAAGGTGGTAGAATACTGGATAAAAACAATGACAAACGTACAAAATGAGAACACCTGTGTCAATTATTAGCGCTAAGGTCACAAACACCTCCCTCCTGGTATTAAGTTATATGCACCAATAACTTATTTAATAGTAATTAATGTAACAATCATGTTCTAATTGTTGTTTGTTTGTTTTTTTTTACTAGGATTTAATTTGTCACTTTGTGAAACTATTTTTACGATCATCGTTTTATTCGATTTTATTGTCACTTGTTGTATCATTGGTCGTTATACACTTTTTTTTTTGCAATATTTAAGATGTTTTTCTTTTGGAGCAAACAATCATTTCATGTTTAGGCATGTTAGTTATACTTTTCAAAATTTCGTAGGTGTACCTTACCCAGTTGGGCAGCCAGGTTGAAAAGACTGCAGAAAACAGAGTGCAATGGAGGGGTGCTACTGAAGCCCTATGTTCCTCTAGGAACCCAAGGGACTAATAATACTACTACTAATAATAATATAGAAGTAGTATTCATCATGGAGTGACATCAGTTGGGGAACCATTGGAAATCTGGGAGCACTGGACAGCTGTTTCGTCCTAGTATGGGACTTCTCAGCAGTACGCATCCACGACCCGACCCAGTGGCTGAATGGTTAACGCGTTCGCCATGAAACCCGAAGGTCCTGAGTTCGACCCCCAGCCGGCTCGTAGGTGCGTACTGCTGAGGAGTCCCATACTAGGACGAAACAGCTGTCCAGTGCTCCCAGATTTCCAATGGTTCCCCAACTAATGTCAGTCCATGGTGAATACTATTTCTAAATTGAAAATCCCCATTCATCTCAAAAATAATAATAATAACCGTACCCAGTTGTGAATCAGATGTCTTGCATATCTTTATATCACCGTCACATAGGATTTCAATCTGATTCTTTCGAAACTCCCCATTTTCTAATGGGTTATACAGTAATGATTGAGTAATAAATCATACCGTAGGAAATATTTGTCCTGTTAATCAGTTAGGTACTTAAAATCAAACATCCTGCACACTAAATACTTTACATAAATGATAGATTATCTCTTCATGTAAGTAATGATTACCGGAGGGCACATCATAATATACTATGGTTAGTGCGAATATTCATGCTCTAGAAGGTACCAAGGAGTATATACATCTGTGCCATTGTGAACGGTTTTCTAGCAATATCACTCAAAAGTTATCGACCACTGGTTCCCATCATCTCAGGGACCCCAACCAGGTAGTCTACTTCTCCTGACACACCCCAGACCAACAGTCAAGGAATGCATCGGTTGATGCCACGTTTTAGTCTGGCCACCCTGAACCCCTCTTCCAACCTACTCCAACTTTCCCTAACATGGGATGTCGAGATAGACGGTGGCTGGGCATACGCAGTATTTGTCCAAGCCATTTCAATCGATAGAGGTTCACAACCTCATCAATCGACTTGCTTGTCTTATGCCTTTCACCTGACCTCATACGGTGATTCCATAAACCGTGAGCAGTGTTGTGAAGACACCAGTGATCAAAACCGCGTAATCACTTCATGTCTTCTACCTTTCACGGCCATGTCTCACAGCCGTTTAACAGGACAGAACCGATTGCAGAGCAGTAAATTCGTCCTTTAACAAGCAGTGGGATATCTCGCCTGTTGGTGGCACGGATGACGTGAATTGGCAAATGCTGCGTGAGCCTTGTGTATCCGAACTGAGATTTTTTCAGCAACCATTGCTTCCGACTTATGCAATTTCCCAAGAAAGTGAAGTGGTCGACATAGTGCAGCAATTCACTGCGTATCATCCCACTGGGAATGATCGCATCTTACATTTGTGAGGTGCGCTACGCATGACGTGCCAAACATACTCAGATTTCTGCTTAACGCGTTGAGGAGACCCTACATTTTATCAGCGTCTTCACCCAATAAAAAAAATATCGTCTACATACTGCAGTCAACCAGATGACTTCCAGGAAGTAGGCCAATCCGTGTGAAGTTGGGCATACCTAAAGTTATTTCAAATAGTTTGTTTATGATAGTGACAGTAGACATGTCTGGAGGATACCACTAGTTGTCGTCAATTCAGATGACAACTTTCCATACGTCTTTGCGCGTCTGTAGTGAGTTCCAGTAGAGAGCTTGATCACAAGACTTACAATCAACAAGCTGGTTAACCAGTCGTTCGTAACTTATAAGCCTAAAGTGTGAAAGAGCCGTTGGTGAGCAGCAGTAAAAGTTTATGAAAGGACATATGTTATTTGTTCTGTAATTCCTGATTCTTACAACTGCTGATTGAGTTTTCATTTATCGTCATCACTCTTTTGACATTTTCCTTATTATTCTTATAATAATAATAACAATAATTTTTATCACTATTATTGTCCTACAGATCGATCGAGATCTCTCACAACTTTCAGAAAGACTTCAAGCCCGTGAAAAAGGTATGAATTGTATTCGGCGTTCAACCAGTTCAACATTTCGTAGTCCTTTTAGCAGTCCAAAGAAGAATATTCCTGTTTCAGAGCTTTGTTCGTCAAAATTAGCAGGATCTCAACAAATTGAAATGATTGTTTTACTAACTAGTCAAATTTCAGGTTTAATGTCTCAGTGTGATGAGTTAAGTAAACAGCTGATGGATACAGTAAAGATTTTGGACGAAAAATTATGTAATCAAGAATTAAACAAGTCCAGTTGATATGTTTACATATTTATGATCACTTGTCTTGGTACATACATAATCTACATTCCTTAAATATTCAACACCATTAGTTAATTCATCTATCCAGGTTTATGTAAATAGTTCTCTTTTACTCAACCAATTGCGTGCAATTGGTTCATCAACTCCTTGTTATTTGTATGTTATTGAATTTTCTAGACTTCACATTCTTTTATAATTTATAGTCTGATTTGGGTTTTGTTTTCATCTTTTTAATAATAAAGGCCCTTGGACTATGACTCTTCGGCAAAATAAAATCCCATTCACCTTACTTCCTCAAAATACTGATATTTCGGAGTTTGTAGGCCGAACAATGAATTCTGTTGATATTTCACTCATGTTTTATGGGGAATGTTTAAGCATGAATTGAAAATCAAGAGCACAACCCCAATGCAAATTGTCTCAAATGTAGAAGTGTAGAGGTGATTTTGAAAGAAAGAATTCTTATGGGGGTTGTAACGGACTGACTGTGTTATTATCACTTGATATGTAAGCAGTCGTGTGTGGGTTAATGCCCACCAGTAGCAAACTAACCAGTACCTGAGTTACCTGTAAGTATTGGCTTCAAAAGATCGGTAAAAACGCACGTTACATTGTAAAACGTCGTAGTTCATTTATAAGTCTGAAGTAAAAACACTGTTTTAGGCGAATACCTACACGTTGAACCTAAAGTTGACCATCGGGCTGTGAAGAAGGTTCACTGCAGGTCATCCCCCTCATATAAAGATGTCGGGGGACTGGCAGCTTTCGCTCCCAAGAGGCAACTGCGACGCCGGCATGCAACACTTTTCCATGTTGCGGATGGAATAAGTGAAGTGGGGGTCTTCGAAGCCAATGCGACTGTGCACAGCTATGAGGAAACAAAACTTTGTGTCCAGACATGGCGCTTCTTGCGGTGATAGGAGATGACCTGAAGTCTTTATCCGCATATCCTTAGTAAGCCTTGAGCTGCAGTAGGAAATGTACAAGGGAGGATCCGTATGAGATTCAGGCGAACAATGCACTTGGTATCACCTATAAGTAACTTGTTTTCAATGAACCGCGTCTTGATTGGTCTTTAGTGAGAAAAACACTGTTAGTAAAGGATAAAGGTGAAGTGCTCTCAAGTCTGTAGTGATAGGATAAGAAGCAGAATGGTAGGCACCAAGGAACTTTTTCTAGGTTTTTTCTGTCCCTAGAGTTCTTGCCAAGCATCTTTTACAATCCAAAGAAACAAACATGGATAGAACTGTGTTGAAGAGCATGGAATTAAAAGTAAGCTTGTTCAGGTGTTGGCTAGATCCAAGGAGGACTGGATGATGACGAAATGTGCAAACAGTATTTTGTTACTACTACCAGCAGTCTCGTTGATGCGGGAGTAGTGATCTTGCACCATAGTCTTCATTTTCCGAAACAATGGTTGTACTAACGTAGCTAATGTAGAGTCGAGTCGTCATCAGTATAAGCTGCCTTCAGTCGGTCGACACTTATACTGTCTTGTGACCTTGGTTTACTGATGACGGAGAATTCCTCCTTTCTGAAAACCTAAGGTCCATAGTAGGGTGCTTATAAAGGTTTTTGGACATCACTGCGATGCGAAAAGACGTGCGAGCTATGGAGGAGTCTTTTGTCTGGCTGCACTTGTCTACGCTCTGTCTGTGTGGATTGTGCTTGGAGGCGATACATTTGAAGTTTAAATTTCCGAGAGCAGTTTGCTTCCGTTAACCATCTCAGCAGAAGTGTATTGCATATCCGTCTTAGAAATAAGGCAAACGCTGAGAACTAATAGTTGAGATTCAGTCCACTTCACATTGGGGAAGTCTTTAGATGACCATGGAAGGACTTTTCTAAACCATCAGAAGTTCAGTGATATACAATGAATGGAATGCGCACGTGTGCTGACAGCTTCTGGAAGATAACGGATGAAAGTTGTCTTCATGGTAGAATAGCATCCGAACTGTCAAACCTCTCTTTCAATGAAAGCCAGAATGACTGTTTCGACAACAATATCTATTTATTAAGATGGCTTCCATTCACTGAGTGAACCTGTCCATACATCACTAAGTAGGATGACCACAAAGCAGCGGAATTGGACCAGTTGTGCCCGAAAGAGCATGAGTGAACCATTGATCTGCTATGGCTGAGATTACAAGCGGTTCGACGTCGTATCATTTTACCTTGAAACGTTAACAGTGAGCATCGTGGTTACTGCCTAGCAGATAGCTTGTCAGTAGCACGCGTGTCGGGATGCGAAAGAACATGAACAGAGCCGAAAACAGAACTACACAGAGAGGAAGGCGTGACAAGCCTAGAATTACCTACGGATATTGCTCAAGACTGTATTTTCGAAGTTCAAAACTTGTACACGCTTTCGGAGGAGCTGATCGTTTGAACCTTGCAGTTCAGCAGTCTGTAAGTCAACCACCTGAGGTAAAGAAGTAGTGCAAGCGCAAACGTACGTCTTTTATAGAGTTGTTCCTACCGCAAATGTGACGGTTATGCGAGGTGAATTGCAAAAGCCTGGCTAGATGACGTATTCTACGCTGATAATACTTACCCATGGTGATGCGCAAAGAATGAATAGAAGGTCTGCGGGCGGTAAACGCGGCAAAGTCATGACCTTCCACAAAATGAAGGAAGTTTTTGACAGCGCCATCTGTAGCAAGCAGCTCATAACCTAGACAGCTGTGCCTCATTTCGCACACGGATAGTCTCCGAAAGAAGGAAGCGGGTGAAATTCAATTTCTACCCAAGGGACGCCACGACACAGCTTCTATAACAACGTCAGAACCAATGCTGAGCGTACGAACCAATATTATGGCCTCTTCTCAGTAGTTACCAGCCGGTTACAAGCCCGAAAAAAGAGGGAAGGTTGGGGATAGGGCTGGCAACCCTACCCGTAAAACCGACCGAATTTCTGAGGAAACTTCAAAGCATAAAGAAAATATACAAAATGAAAATAAACTTATTCTTCTCTGGAATCGGGGAGACGAAATGATGCCGGTTGGTGAAAGCCTTCAGGAAGTCAGTTGGCCTATGTGTCATCTCTCGATGAAAGCAAAAGTAAACGTGAGGACATGGAATGTCAGCACCATGTCTGAACCCAGCAAGGCAGCCCAGGTTGCAAAAGAGATGAGAAGGTATCACATTGAAGTGCTGGGAATTTTCGAAAGCAGATGGAATGGGAGTGGAGTCTCCAAACTGTCAACTGGAGGATCAATAATCTACTCCGATATTGTCACTCAGACGACAACCACCAGCACACTGAGTTATGGAGTGGCTATCATGATGCCTCCAGCAGCAACAAAGGCTCTCCCTCGTGCAGTGGGAACCAATCTCCTCTGGGATCAGGATCACGACAGAAAGGTTCAACTCTAAAGGAAGGAAATTCACAACCTTACAATGCTATACACCTACAAATAATGCAGATGAAGAGAAGAAGGAGGAATCCTATGGACAACTGCGATCAGACGTAGACAAGACCCCATTCCAGTCGGCCACATCAAAATTCCAATGGGTGGGGTGGCATGAATGCCAAACTCAGAGCGGACATCACAGGAAGAGAACTGATCGAGAAGCACTCGGCCGAAATGGACCAGAATGGAGATCTGTTGGCAGACTTCTGCACATTCAGTGATTTAGTGATTGGAGGCAGTGTGTACAAGCACAAGGATATTCACAAAGCAAGCGATATGGATTTCAACAGACACCAGGACACGCCAAAATCAGATCGACTTTATGTCAAAAGACACAAGATGACGAGGAAGAGCATGTATAGCTACAGACCACCCACTGTCTAGTTCTAGGAACTTGCCTTCAAGATCAAGTTGAAAGCCTCCAAATGAGCTGGTAATAGACGACCACAATTCAAGTTCAACACCCAGAACAGGAGCTGAAGGGCAAAATTGCGAAGGACATCTTCACGCCGGTCATCAGGAAAAAACTGGAGATATTTAAGCAACATCTCTGAGGGAACCTGCGAGGAAGAGCACTGAAAATCTGTGAAAACGATGTGGAAGGAAACCTGCATAACCGTGCTAGGAAGGAAGAAGAAGCAAGACAAAGAATGGACGTTAACAGACACATGGAAGCTGAGAGGGGTGAGAGAGGAAGATGGTGGAGCAGAAGATGAACCAATGCAGTGCATCGCAGGGATGAACAACGAAAGGAGGAACTGAACACGACCTATAATATACTGGACAAAGAGGTGAAGAAGAGTGCGCGCAAAGACAAAAGTCACACTTACGACACACTTCAGCTGAAGCAAAACAGGCTGCAGGTAGGCGGGGCAGAGACCTGACAACATTATTTTAACTAACCAGGCTACCATCTGTGGGGAGATCGACTCACATGAAGCCAATAGAAGATAGTGAAGGAAAGCTAGTTACCGAAGAGGAGAAACAAAGGAAACAATGGGCTGACCACTTCAAAAAACCCTTGGATCGACCACCATCACCACCTACAACTCGTTCAGAAATACCACTAGCAGCCCAGCTACAGAACTGTCAGCGAACACAAGCTCTCCAACAAACGCAGCAGTGAAGCTCTGAACGCCATAAAATTACTGAAAGCCGGTAAAGCAGAGTGGTCGGGTAGGATTCCTCTGGAAGCACTTAAAACGGACACAGAGACAACAGCAGACATGCTCACATCACTTCTACAGGAGGTTTGGAAGCGAGGAGGGAAAGACGCCCACAAATTGGAAGAAGGGCTACCTTGTCAAACTTCCAAAGAAGGAAGAACTAAGCCTTTGCAAGAACTGGCGGAGAATCATGATCCTGTCCCTGTTCACCTCAAGCAAAATATTGGGCTACATCATCGTACAACAGACTTGACACACAGTGCCACCAACGGCGAGCGTTTTCGTGGTTTCAGGAGTATACCTAGAACCTCTCGACAGTTACCAATCACAGTTCCTCTTCTTTCTCAGGTCCCCACTACTACGCGGACACAACGAGGTTCATACTGATAACTCTGACTCAAGAATGACCACAGAAACT